CCTCTCATTGTCTTTGAGTGTTGATACTAGTCATGCCCCTCTTGTAGGGGCTTCCATTCCTTCCCAGGCTGGCAGCCAGTGGACCCCAACACGTCTGACGATGGAGGACAGAACCTGTAGATGATGCAATGCAACATTATCGTTTGACTTGGGCCCTCAAATTTGTGGGGCTTGGCACAGGCTGTGAAAGGTCTAGGTCTAGGCACTCATCTTTCTTTCTTTAACAAGATTTTGCTCTGGACAATTCGCTGTTCCAGGAGACGAGCCTCCCGCTCGCAATGCTGTCGGTGGCTCTGAGGCCTCGGTTCTGGGCTTCTTAAGGTCAATCGCAAAAAAAACTGCTCCTCACGTCTAATTTTCGTAGAGTCCCAAACAATTCGTTCTTCACCTGGCCCAGGCTGCTGTGAACCATGATGGCTACTCGCAGGACTCAAACGGACTTCTATCCCAAAATAGCCGAAGCCCATAAGTATTCCTGCCCTAGGAGTGATCTCTCCTTGGCTGCCTCTTTCATTGTGGCATCTCTGCTGGAACTACTTGATTGTTGGCTTTACAGGAGTGCTGTTGCTGTGGCTTGCAGCCAGAAGGCACAAGCTGAGGCCAAGCGATTTTGTGGATGTTCAATTGGGTTCCCGCCTTGGCTGTTCTTGCAAAGCTGTTCCCAGAGTGGTCAGCTGGCATCTTGCAACCTAGAGCTGAGACCCCCGGGCCCGAAGAGGCTACCCTCAGCTACTTGCGAAAATCGGCTTGTCAGCATGCAGTGCCTGCATCTTGTGGCACTTTGGCTTGCTTGAGTGTCATGTTTGGCACCCCATCTCGGAAAGCAAACCTTTACAATATGACGTGTCCTGATGGATCGCAGCCTCACAACGTGCTGTCATCTGTGATTGGCCTGGGAGGCAAATTGAAGTTTTCTGTTGCTGGCCATGGCTGCCAAGAGGTCAAGTCACAAGGCGAAGAAGTCTCAGAAGGATCGTCGTCGACGCCGGAGTTCCGGCTCATCTTCCCCGTCGAAAGATGAGTCCCCAGACATGCAAGCTGTCACAGCCATTGCTGTTGCTTTCGGTCTGCGCCCTGCCTCAATTTATTGTTGCACTCAGTTCCCTTTCTGTTTGTTTGGACTATTTTTAGCTTCCTCTCCAACTACAGGACTGTGAAGCATCTTCGGCTTTCGAGTGCTCGGGCCACGAGATTGTCAGATCTCTCACCGTGGTTGCTTGCCACATGCTTGGCTCGACTTGTGCCCGGGTTCACAGAGAATGCACTCATGAGAGTTGGTGGGGAGCTGCTGGAGGCTGTTAGGGGAGATGTTCTACAGTTTGCTGCTTGCTCTTCGTGTTTTCAGTTTCTCAACCTCATCATTTCATCTCTGTTTCCCTGGCAGCTTCGCAAACGTGCCAAGCAACAGAGCAATCTCGACGCCAACTGCCCGGACTCGCTCAAGCTCAAGGTGCAACTGACGCAGGCCGAGAGTCAAGCCGAGACTCAATGGCGAGAACGCCTGCTCAAGCTCATCGAGAAGTGTGCCTTGTAGCAAGCCATCTACTTTGTGCCTTTGGGGGGGGTTTAGGGTTTAGCGTTTAGGGTTTAGGGTTTAGGGTTTAAGGGTTTAAGGGTTTAAGGGTTTAAGGGTTTAAGGGTTTAAGGGTTTAAGGGTTTAAGGGTTTAAGGGTTTAAGGGTTTAAGGGTTTAAGGGTTTAGGGGTTTAGGGTTTAGGGTTTAGGGTTTAGGGTTTAGGGTTTAGGGTTTAGGGCTTAGGGTTTAGGGTTTAGTTAGGGTTTAGGGTTTAGGGTTTAGGGTTTAGGGTTTAGGGTTTAGGGTTTAGGGTCTTTCCCTCTGTTATTCCCGCTCCTTGCACTTAGACTAAACCCTAAACCCTAAAGTCTTTAGACCTGTTAAGTTAAGGGTTCTAGTGCTTGGCTGCTGAACGATTTTCCATTTTGCCCACCATGAAAGGTTTGTCAATGATGAAGGGTTCAAGGGGGCCAAGACAAGAACAGCTCAGAAGCACCCTAAGCCCCAAGAAGCCTCCCCCGCCAAAAACACACTCCGAATACTAAATCCTAACACAAAGCTCTCAACCCTCAACCCTAAACCCCAAACCCTAAAGCCCAAGCAGCTAAACCCTCCAGCCTGAAGGTCTAAACCTGTCGGCACCACTACCGAGGTAGACCTGAGGTGCTGAGTCGGTAGGGTTTAGGGTTTAGGGCTTTAGGGGTTTAGGGTTTGGGGGTTTAGGGTTTAGGGCTTTTGGGTTTTAGGGTTTTAGGGTTTTGCGACTCCCGAGTTCCTTGTGGAGGCCGAGCAGCCCCTAAAAAAAACGCATCGAGGCACGGAGCTGCATTCGCTGACGGTCATCTCTCAGCACAAAACGGTTGCCAGTATACGCAGGACCTATCGGACTAAGCTGGCATGTTCACTCTCGTGTAGTTCCGTTCATGTGTACATGTAAATGTAAAGAAGGACCCTGGAGAGCGAAGTGGAGACACGCAACCAGTCGGACACGTCACTGTCCTGGCAGAAAGAGGCAAAGGACATGCTGCAGAAGTTGCAGCACGAGGCTGCTGGAGATATGCAGGACGAGAAAAGTAAGGCTCTGTCAGGCTCAGTACGACGCCGCAGTAGTCAGGCATCGCTGCCATCATCTGACGAAGATGGCAGTGACGATGCTGAGCACAAAACGCCTTCAACACGCAAGCCTGTGCGACGTACATCGAGTAAGTCGGACTTAGGCACTCAGGCGCACGCAGGGCTGGGCATGTGCTCTTGATGTTTAGTGCATACCTGTTTTTGTTTCTGCTCTGCTGCAGGCTCCCACAACACGTGGCTCATGGAGAGACCAAACGTCCAACAACAAGGAGTGGCAGATTTCCAATGATGATGATCTCCTCTCCGCCCGCTTCGCTCGAAAGGGGGGCAAGAGAAGCAAGCCTGACTTGCTGGGTCCTGAGGGTGGGGACAAGGAAAAGGATGATGCCAAGGCCATCCAAACCTTCCTCAAGGATGAGATGGCCATGTACTTTGCCCAGGAGGGCGACCGCATCCTGTTTTGGGACCTGCTGGAGAAAGATGGCATTGTTCTGAACTCAGGAATTGGCTCACGCTTGTTGGGTTGGGCTGTCAGAGACGCCTTTGCCCCATCACCCCCATCCGTCTCCTCAGGACAGCATTCGGTGTTTCCTTGATGCACTCCGTGACGGCTGGAGTGTGGATGCCATGGGTGATGGAGCCCGCTCTGTTTTGTCGGCCATGAGTTGGGTGGGTCGCAAAAGCATGCACCGCATGCTTAAAGACATGGCCAAAGACCTGGACTGCATGGGTATGTTCCAGTGTGTGTCACGCAAGCTTAAACGGACCTTAGGCGCTCAAAACCGCAACCCTCTACAGCTTTGCAGGACACGCATCGTGATCGTGCTGGTCGTCTTCTTTCTCGCAGCCTCTTCCCGAGTGATGATGGAACCCCTCAGAAGACCCCTCAGAAGTCGCCTGAAGAGACCAGTTCTCCACCCGCAGGAACCCCGCCAGTCCAGGAGAAGGCAGCTCATGGAGCCGCTGAGGGCACTGACGCTAAGGATGTTCAGTTTCCGTCCGACTCCGAGTGAATCTCCTCTGGAGTCCTTGGGCCTCGCAGCCCATTTGCCTTGGTTTTGTCACGCTGCTGTAGGTGGGGCACCTGACGCAGACGCCATCGCAAGACACCACGTGTGCACATGCTCCTGAAGGAAAGATGCTGTCTCCATTGATTTTACCTGCCCTTGATTGAACAGGAACACGGACATGTTTTTTGATCTCCTGGTTTTCGCTGCAGCATTTACGTAGCCTTCTTGTCCTTGCAGCCTCACCGTGTTTCCCATGAAGTCCTGCTCCAACAAAATTGCTCGTTCCTGTTCGGAGGTGGGGCCCATAGTTTCGGCCTCTGCCGTGCCGATTCTTTCCAGTCGGCATGCAACCTGGTGGTGGCAGCTTGAAGTGCAGTGTCAGAGGACTTGGTCTTATCTGGAAGCCTGGCCTGGGGCCATGTTTCTCTTTCTGGCCACAGCACAAGTCGGGGACAAGAACTACTTGGATGAAGGAGTGCATATCTTCGTCGAAGATCGTCGTGGAGATGACCTACTGCTCTACGACTATGAGGCTTTGAGTCGTTGGGCTGTTCGCCTGCATCGGCCTTTTGTACACAATCTTCACACCATGGACTAAGGGACAGAGAATGCCAGGTAGAAATTTGTTGATCTCAGCTTTGTGCTCTGAAAGGTGCACGTGCTCTTTGTTTGAAGCATTCTTGCTTGAAAGTTGCTCTTGTGCTGTCCTCCTGCTGCTGGCTCCAGGCCAGAACCGTTCTCCCGGGCAGAAACGTTCTCGCTAGCACGCAACGTTCTCGGTAGCAGGCAACGTTCTCGCTAGCAGGCAACGTTCTCGCTAGCAGGCAACGTTCTCGCTAACGGGAATCCTACTGGGGCTACAGGAGCAGTTCTGTTGCTCGCAGAGCCAAAAATAAGGCCAGAAGGATACGGGCCAGAATGGGAAAGGTGGGATGTACGCACTGTAAAACTGAAGATTCCAACTCAACCTACTGGCCTTCTTTTTGCCATAGTGCGCCTCCTGAGCGCTCCGGGGCCGTGCCGGGGGAAACGGTGTGGCCAGAATGATCCTGGAGGTGGGTTTGGGGGTAGCCCTAAACCCTAAACCCCAAGCCCTAAACCCTAAACCCTAAATCCTAAACCCTAAACCCTACACCCTAGGCCTTCAACCTCAAGGCCTGAACCCCTCACCCTAAACACTAACACCTTAAACTCCAGGATTGGCTCGGCGAGATTCGGGCTCTGCTGGAAAAGGTCCCGCTGGAAGATGAGAACGGCTCTCGCTGCATAGCATTGTTGTCTGTCAGAAAGAAGGTGGCTGAGGCATGGAAGACATACGCTGACGTGGCCCCTAGTCATCGGGATGCCGCATGGCATAGTAATCTCAAAGAGTTTGAGAAACAGCATGAGCAGCTTGTGCAGATGTACGGTCCTGACACGCCCTTCGCCCCGAAGCCCAGTCTGGAAAGCCTTCCGGAGCAGCCCTCGCCTGCCTTGGAGGATGATGACGACGCCGAAACCTCCCCTGAAAAGCGAAGCCCAGGTGTAGATCGGGATTGTCCAGGTCATGTCTTCAGATTTCTTTCGAACAGACGTGGTGTCTGGACTGTCTTGCAGGCCGGGTTCTGGCACAACGCTGATTTCTCCTCTTCACGTACGTAGCATTTCTGTTTTTGCACGTGGGACAGGTTGAGAACAATGACGCCGTTGATGGGTATCGGCACTTTATTTCCACAGCAGAATGGTATTCTCTTCGCACTCCATATACGCAGTACTTCACAAAGAACCATGCCGGCAACTACTTGCCTCTGGCACACTTGCTGGAAGTGGGAACTCGGCATGTGGGTATCTTAGATCGACATCTTTCTTTGACTCCACCAATTGCTGATCCCGTTTTGGATTCTCTCTCGCTCTCAGTCTCACTCTCATTTTCTCTCTCACTCTCATCCTCACTTTCAGTCTCTCTCTCTCTCTATCTCTCTCTTTTTTCTGAGGCCGTCTCTGAGATCTTTCTTTCTTTTGTTCCCAAGGTGGCACGCAGACCAACCTACAAAGGCCACATCGCCGGATTGACTTCCCTGCCAGTGGACTGCTGCACAGTCCTGGGGATACTTGTCACTCTGGCCACATTGCTTCCCACAGCAAGCCTGGGACCTGATGCTCTGATGGAGTGTTTGGGGGTCCTGCAAACATTCGAAGAACACATGAGCATCAATGACTCCATTCCCCTGCTGCCCCACGCCCGAGTCTTCTGTGTTCAGGTGCAAGAGAACCTGATGCCTGTGCCAGCACTGAAAGCAGCACTGCACGAGCTTGGTCTCAGTTGGGCAAGGCCTTACCTGGGGCGGTTGAGGTCTCCCGTTTGTTTCCGTTTTGGGATTAAGGTTCAATTTAGGGCTTCCCCTTTAAATTTCGGGTTTAGGGTTCGGCTGAGGATTCTTTCTGCTATTTCGCTGAGGAATTTCCTGTCTATTTCGGTGAGATTTTTTTTGTTGGGGCTGTAAACTTCTGCATCTTTCCCTGACGAAGTTTGTCTTTATTTCTGCCCGCCAGGTTTGCAAAAAAAATCCCTGGCAAAGACACAAATGCCACAATGCCGCTCAGCACCTTCCTTGTCACGTGCCTGAGGATGAGATCCGATAAGGATTTCTGGAACTCCCTTGGTTTCCGTCGCCTGACAAAACGTGTCCTGCACGTTTTTGCGCAACGTGCAGAAGAGAGTCTGGAAACGGCAACCACAGAACAATGCCCGGACCCCAACATTGCTCACAAGTATCATCCGTACATGGCTGTGTCACGCAGGAAGGGCAACAGGTCGCTTCGCATGAACATGGTAAGCCGCTTCCTCTGCCGGGGTACAGGCTACGTGTCTTTGAAGGACGAAAGGTGCCTTTCGGAGCTAGAACTCGTGGCTGAGAACTCGAATCTGGCTACCAAGACAGCCGCTGAGTTTGTGGCCCGACTTCTCCTGAAGACAGAGAGCCACGTTGCAGCTGCTCTTAGCCGTCAAGAGATGAAGTGCCTGAACTTTTGCTTTGACGAGGCCACAGTGGCCACTGAGAAGGCTCCCTGGGAGGGCAGTGGGGAAACTTAAACGTGGGGGGATGCTTGCTGTACTGCCTTCCTTTCCCTCCGAAACAGGTCTTGTCCGTGGTGTTTATGCTGGACGGTTGTCTTTTTCCCGGAGCCACGCAGATGCTACCTGTGAACGTGTGTAACAAAGACGAAGCTGCAGAGGCTTCACGAAGCCTGGCTGCAGCCTTGCAGGGTCGACTGCCGCAGGACGCCACGCAGCGCATGCAGCTTCCCAAGAACGCCTTTGCTTTCCGAGAGTTTCGCAAGCCCACAAAAGACCTGCTAGCTGGGATTGCAAACTCTCTGCAGCAAGCCATGCCTTCCGGGTTCACCCTTCAGAGCTGCAAGCCGCCGAATCCCTTGAAACCTGCTGGACAAGGATGTGAAAGACATGTCTACGACAATAGTGAGTTGCGACTCCTACCGCAGCAGCTTCCGTCAGACGCACACTTCTTCTTTACCTGGGACTCAGAGGCCTTGGAATCCCGCAAGGACTTCTATGAGCACGAAAACTTCACAAGACTGGTTTTCAGTGCCGACGAAGGGACACAGGCTTGCCTGGCTGAGGTTTATGAAGCCCCTAACACGAAATCTCCTTAACCCTAAACCCTAAACCCTCAACCCTGAAACTGCTTCTCAAAATGACCTCAGGGATTCGTGGCATGGCAACACCTCAGTGCCTCAGATTGCTGGGCTGTGCTATGGCCCGACATCTTCCACCGCTCCGCACGGAGATGTGCCCAGGCCATTCGTGGCCTCACAGGGGCCGCAGATCTGCTTAAGAAGCTGGGGGTTCTCTTTCGCTTCTCGAGGGGACCATTCAAAACATCAAAGTTTGGCCGTTTGGTTTCAGATGCCCGCGACCGCATCATCGAGCTTCTGTCAAAGGACCCCAACGCCGACTTTGCACAGATGTTTATACCAGGCATGGCTAAGGATGCGGCAGGCTTGCACAATGGGAGTGGGATTGCCGAGAGCAGCTTCACAGCAGCCGATGCTTTGAGCATGCTACGTGACCGGCAAGGCCACGTATGGTTTGAAAATAGTTTGTGAGTCGGTGTGCACACAAAATGTATTTTACAGCAACCCTGAATTCTCAGCCCTTAGCCCTAAACCCCAGCCTAAAACCAAGACCCGAACAGGCAGGCTACATCTTCGGGCCGAGACCTCCAAGGACAGTCGCTGGTTCAGCTTCTGGGACTACAGTGTTGCCCTGGACGGGGTATGGCACGCAGAAGCAATGGCTCACTGCTTCTCCTTCTTCAGTGAAGGGCGAAACCCGTGGGGGATGACCGCCCGCAGTGATGGCAGTGACGATAGCTTCTCTGCCCGGGTCGCTGCATGGCACGTGCTTTAGCTGCTCTTCTTGCTCTTGTACCCTAAACACTGACACCCTGAACCCTAAATCCCAAACCCGAAATAGCGGATTTAAGGGGACCTCGCACAGAAACGCTGCTCACCTGTGTTCATCTAGGTGCTGGCTGATGACACAAACCAAGACAAGATGAGGGCCTTCATTGTGGTGTTCCGAGCCTTGAGAATGTTCGTGTGTGACTGTGCCCCTGGGCTGCAGTATTGGCCCTGGGGTCAAAGGTTCTTAGTTTCAGTTCTAAATGTTGCATCTAAGGCACGAGACTTCCAGAACAACTCAAGCGCCTCCTTGAAGCATGCCTTGTCCTTGGCCACTGGCAAGCGGGTGCAACGACTCATCACGAAGCTCGGTTAATAGTCCAGTCCAAGCAGTCTTTGAAGCCTTCTAGATGTGACGCCTAAGGAAGACTCTACAGGACGCAGCTAAAGGTGCAGCCATCCCCTATTGTTCTGCAGACAACGACCCCGAGTCACGCACATGGCTGGCAAGTTTGACCCTTTGCCATCTGAGCTCCCTGTGTTCCTTGGACGCCTACCACACCTCATTTCCTTGGAGAGCCATTGCATGCCTGAACGCGCAAGCCCGGGCAAGCTGTCTGGAAGACATGCAGAAGGAATGGCTCTTTGTGACGGAAATTGTCGATGTCCTCCCGAGCAAAAGTGCTTTGTACGGTCTTCTTTCTTTCACCCGCTATCAACCGTACAGAGACATCATGACAAAGGGGGAGTGTGGTGCTCAGTTTCACGGGCCTCCTCATGAGCACAGACTAGAGATTTCAACCCTGGATTCGGTAAGTCATGTTAACCCAGTCAAAACAAAACAAAAACTCACAACGTCAGGTCCTTCAGCTTCAAGTCCGAGGCCATGGACACCGCCGCTGGGCAGGCCTTCCGACAATGTTGCAGATGCATGGCTGGCCTCACTGGCCCTGGGACTTCCAGTCTACTTTGCTCGTTGCCTTCCGAATTGTGCTTCAACGATCTGAGAGATGCTGGTCGAAGGCATGCCAAAAGCGAGAAGACAAACCCGCACAACCTGCACGCTGTGGCACACAAGTCCACCCTGAAACGCCCAGCTGGTGCCGAAGTCCTGAACCTCACTGCCCAGGATTGGCAACAGCCACTGTCGCAGAAACACATCAAAGCTCGGGTGCACAGTGCCTTGAAGGCTACAGACACGGAGCTGGGAATCTGCTCAGAGGGCCTCACAAAGCATCGCACCAATAAGAACTACACAAAGCCACACATACTGGTGCAGAGGCTTTCCCTCATGAAGGTCCTCAGCACTTGCTATCATGTGCACATCCGGCCAGAATTGGACAGGCAGGATGACAGGAAGGAGGTCCTTCTCAGTGTGTTTTCATCCATGTGGACAAGCAAGCTGGTTCCGGAGCATTGCTTCATTTCCTGCCGTGCACACCAGCCCACAGATGACACCCGCTCGCTCGTGCTCTCCTCCGGTCCTTATGCTGCACGCCTTTGGCCATTGAAAAGGTTTGCAGAGAATGTCTTTACCTTTGAGGCCTTGGAAGTTCCCCGGACAGACACAATCGTTGGAGACCTTCACGAAGTTCACGTGGCCCTCACAGAGGAGTGCTTGGCACACGACCAGCTGGCATGGAAGCAGGTGTCTGGTTGGATGAGTCTGGCCAGCTACGTTGCCGAGTACTCCATTCTTTCAGTGCCCCGCTCCCTGCTGTCTAGCATCTGCAGTTCGCTGGGATTGAAGCACGGCAAGCTCGACTACAAGTCTCGGGTCAAGCTTTTCCTTGAACATGAGAAGAAGTCAGAGAAGTACATCAGCGAGATTTTGGAAGAGCTTCCTGACAAGGAGGCTGACAAAGCAGCAGAATCCTACATGCTCTAATATGTGGATGGTGTTGAGGGCCCTCGTCTTCTACCCTAAACCCCACCTTAAAGTTTTTCACTCCATATTAGGGTTTAGGGTTTTAGGGTTTTTGGAAAAAGGGTCTACCGTTCAGGCCCCAGACCCTAAACCCTAAACCCACTCACCGAAGTAAGGATGACAACAGGGAGCCCGACGAAAAACTTGAAGGAGAAACAGACGACGAAGAAGAAATAAGCCTCATGGAAGAGATGGGAGATGACCCAGCATCAGAGGCGAACATGGAAGAAGCACCGACAGAGGCAAGCAACAATGCTGCCGAGCAGCACAGAGATGAAGTCGCCGCAGCTGCTGAAGCTGCTCCATGCCACGACCGGGCTTCCGAGGATGCCATCGCACAGGACATCGACATGCAGCGGAAGGAGCTCATATTTGGCAGCATTTTAAGCTCTTCTTTGCTTAGGTGGTTTGCTCATGTCAAAAAAATTCAATTTGGCATCGAAAACCCCCAACCCTTGCCACAGTAGTGAAGCTGCGAATACATCAAAAGTCCTTAATAAAGCTCTAAAGCATCCCTTTTGAAAGGAACGTGTGGATGGACCCCACGCATCGCCCGTGCAACGACCTCCTCCTCCTGATGGTGAAGTAGCTCCGGGTTGCGCTCGGTACTTCGGCTACCCAACAGATTCCTCTCCATTCTGCCAAGTGAAGCTTCCCCCAGGTTTTCGCCACCCAAGTACAAAGAAGATGTCCAGAGCTTTCTGTTTCAGGGATGAGAACCATGCGGGTGCAAAATCCACCCAACGTACAAAGGATCAGGCCATGGCCTGTGCTACTGCTTGGAGCTTTGAATGGTTCAACATGCTCACGCCAGCCGAGCAGGAAGGGTTGAGGGGTACGGCTGAACCAGCCCGCAAGCGAGCTCGCAACAGCTGAATGGTAGAGAAAAATATGCTGAACCAAGACTACTCAAGCATCATCTCAGCCTGAATATTATGTAAAGTCTGTGTCGTGCTGCTGCCTCGCTTGTGAACCTCGGGTTTCTGGCAGCTGGGGACAGCTGCATGATGAGATAAACTGCAGTGGACAGGCGAAAAAGATTTCAGCAGCCTCTTTGCCCATTGGGCTCTAGGTCTATGTATTCCTGGCTGAAAACCAAGAAAAACCGAACAGGTTCAGAGAATGGGGAAGGTAGGGATAGAGTTAAGGGTTAAGGGTTTAGGGATGAGGGTTAGGGCATCACCCTAAACCTCGACGTCGTTCGTGGACTACTCCCCTTTTACGGGCTTGGGCTGTAGGGTTTAGGGTTCATGGTTCAGGATTTCGGGCTTGGGGGTCACTTGCAATTACAGGGCGTCCGGTTTCAACTCTGCTAGGGCCGTTGTGGCTTCGGGTTCAAGACTTCTAGGGGCAGCTCGTGGCAGCGCGAGCCCTGGCCGAAATGAGTTTCAGAGGCTGTGCGCCGTTCACGTTTATTTTTTTGCGGCGCCATACGAGAAACGCCAAGTCCGACGATGGGGGGCATCGTTCGACGTTGCATGGAGAGTGGTCGAGGGCTCAAAAGAGAAGCCGCCGGCAAAGCACAGCATTGCAAAGCACGTTTTCACCAGAGCGAACTTGGATCCCGAGCCGTGGCGGAGACCGCCTCTGGCTGGCAGAGTCACCTGGCAAGCCAGGTGCTGCCATCATGGAGGCAGCTGGCGCAGAGATCAGGTACCTGGGTGTGGGGCCTGGTGTCCCCAAACCTGGCCTCTGCCAACGTGGCACGCCCCTATGATTTGCGCAACCTCTTGAGGGTCATCTCCAACATGCTGCCTAAATCTCGCAACCCTCAAACCCTCAACCCTCAAAACCCTCAACCCCTCAACCCGAAACCCTGAAAACATCGAACCGCCTCGAAGAACCCTTTGAAGCCCAACCTCATCAAGCTTGCAACGGCCCTGAACCCCAAACATGCAGTCCCAAGCCCTAACTCCCAAGCCCGACGCCTCAAGCCCCGAACCCTAAACCTTATAAGCCCTTCAACGAAAACCCGGGAACCCTAAACCCCAAGCCTTCAGCCCGTTTATTGTACCCCTAAACCCTCAACCCAAAGCCCAAAAGCCTAGAACCTCTTGAGAAGCCGCCCCGAGGTTGCAATGAGACAGCTTTCTGCGTCCGTGGACGTGGTGGATCTACTCTGAGCCCTCTCGGGGGCCCCATGTGAAGGTTTACCCTGAACCCTAAACCCTAAACCCTAAACCCTAAACCCTAAACCCTAAACCCTAAACCCTAAACCCTAAACCCTAAACCCTAAACCCTAAACCCTAAACCCTAAACCCTAAACCCTAAACCCTAAACCCTAAACCCGAAGCCCTAAGCCCTAAGCCCTAAGCCCTAAACCCTAAACCCTAAACCCTAAACCCTAACTGTAGAAAGCCGCATGGTGCGAAACCGGCATCAGTTTATCGGAATTCATTCAGGAACTGCTGTCTCCCAAAGCATTGCTTCCGGTGCCCCTTCAAAATCCCTGAGCCCCACGCCTAAAACCCTAAACCCCCAAAAGCAAAACCACCAACATACCCCAACAAAAAAGGCGCAATAACCCGACACCCTAGGTTTGCAGGGTGTGGGGTTCAGGGTAAAGTTGCAGCTCCTGACCCGTTTCTCACTGAAACCTAGCCCTAAACCCTAAACCCTAAACCCTAAACCCTAAACCTTAAACCCTAAACCCTAAACCCTAAACCCTAAACCCTAAACCCTAAACCCTAAACCCTAAACCCTAAACCCCGAAGCCTGGACCCTATAATGCTAAGACTTAACCCCTCGGTGCCCTAGTCGCTCGAACCCCCACCGCTGCCCTCGTCACCTGAACCGATGAACTCCCCAGTGCTGCATGGATGCAGGGCCTTAGGGTTTAGGGTTTAGGGTTTAGGGTTTAGGGTTTAGGGTTGAGGGTTTTGGGTTGGGGTTTAGGGTTTGGGGTTTCGGGTTTAGGGTATGAACGTTCTCCATCTCCGCACGTTGACTGCAGCTCCTGCTGGCAATTTAGTGCATGAGGTGGCATCAGCGAGAACAGTGTCTGGAGAAGGAATCTAAGATTCAGGGTGACAGAGCTTCCGCCCTAAACCCTAAACCGTAAACCCTAAACCCCAAACCCTGAACCCCAAAACGTAAACCCCAAACCCGACGAATGGTATTCCGTTGCGGCCCCTATATATTTCTAGTCGTACAAGAACCACCAAAACCCTGTTCTAATTATTAAGGACCCCAACATCCCTAAACCCTAAACCCTAAACCCTAAACCCTAAACCCTAAACCCAAAACCCTAAACCCTAAACCCTAAACCCTAAACCCTAAACCCTAAACCCTAAACCCTAAACCCTAAACCCTAAACCCTAAACCCTAAACCCCAACATGTTGAAGGCTTGGGCAAGTCGTGGACGAACAGACGTGATGCCACACATGTAGGTCGGATCATGCAACAGCGCTGGAAGACTTAGATGGCAAAAGGATCTTTAGGGTTTAGGGTTTAGGGTTTAGGGATGTTGCTGAGGTTCGGGGTTCAGGGTTCAGGGTTCGGGGTAGGCGGCTGGGGCCGTTTTTTTGTTTATCAATTGCGTTTGTTTTTTTCGTTTTTGTTGTGGCTTCTTCGGGATAGCCGTCCGCTGAATCCGGGCTTAGGGTGTTCAGGAACTTAACTAAACCCCAAACCCTAAACCCTAAACCCTAAACCCTAAACCCTAAACCCTAAACCCTAAACCCTAAACCACAAACAGCCTATACAGGGCCCGAAAGCCCCGCACAGCGCTGGCACATGAGCGCTTGAGGCTTCAGACTTAGGGTAGTTTCATGGTCCCCTAATACGTTTCTTGGGTTGTGTAGGGAATATGAGGGGTACATAGAGTGTCCCCGTTTTAACGCCCGAGACCATGTAGCTACCCCTAAACCCTAAACCCGAAATCCTAAACCCTAATCCCTCAACCCTAAACCCCAAACGCTTGTGGCCCGCAGCTTGGCCCAGTGCGCAGTGGTTTTAGGACTTGGGGTTAAGGGTTTAGGGTTTGAGGTTGGGGGCTTTCCACTCTCAAGCCCGAAGCCCTAAGCCTTAAACCCTAAGCCTTAAACCCTAAATCCTGAATCCCTAAACCCTAAACCCCAAACCCCAAACCCGGAACCTCAAGCCCTCAACCCTGCAGCTCCTCAAGCCCCCTACAGTAATATTCCCCGCCCAATGTCAAGGGCCTTGTAGCATGGTGGCCACTGCCGCTGTGACGAAGGTGCCGACGGGGCGGGGGCTGAGGGTCTAAACCCTAAACCCTAAACCCTAAACCCTAAACCCTAAACCCTAAACCCTAAACCCTAAACCCTAAACCCTAAACCCTAAACCCTAAACCCTAAACCCTAAACCCTGAACCCTGAACCCTGAACCCTAAACCTTAAACCTTAAACCCGAAACCCTAGTCCCTGGGCCGCAGAAACGCAAAGCCCTACGAGCTCCAAGACCCGTAAACCCTAAACCCCACCCGAAGCCCCAGAAACCCGGAAGCTCCTAAACCCTGTGAGCCCTCAGCCCGAGCCCTGCCAGCGCTTGCACAACATTTTTTTAGTTAGGGTTTAGGGATGTTTAGGGTTTAGGGTTTAGGGTTTAGGGTTTAGGGTTTAGAGTTTGGGGTTTAGGGTTTAGGGTTACAAGGCCCCCCCCCCCCCCCCCCCCCGCCATGACTTTGCCAGTGAAACCACAGAGGAGGAGCCTGATGATGAGGCAATCAAGCTCTACCTGCGGCAGTTTCTTGGTGGTCCAGCTGCCGGTGTACCAGCCGCTACAGGCTTGCAGATGGTGGCAGCAGATGAGGACGAAACCCTAAACCCTAAACCCGAAACCCTAAACCCTAAACCCTAAACCCATTTGCAGCGATGCTGGTGCTGCAGATGTTGCTGCTGCAGAGTTATGAGCCCTACAATGCTGCAACCAGTAGACGCCCCCTGCAAATCCTCAACCCCTAAACCCCACACCCCAAACCCTAAACCTTAAACCCTAAACCCTAAACCCTAAACCCTAAACCCTAAACCTTTGCCCTAAACCCTAAACCCCAAAACCCTCAACCCCAAGTGCCCGACGTTTGGGCTCTGCGCTCCAGCGAGGCCCATGCGGTACGACAGCGCCGCGGGCGAAGCCCCGGAACACGGGGAGCAGGCCACGGGACGTTCCTCCAAGCCCTAAACCCTAAACCCTAAACCCTAAACCCTAAACCCTAAACCCTAAACCCTAAACCCTAAACCCTAAACCCTAAACCCTAAACCCTAAACCTAAACCCTAAGCCCTAAACTCCAAAGACCCCAGAACCCTCGATAGGCAGGTCCTTTTCGGGCTTGGGGCTTAGGGGAACCCTCGTACAAGTAAAAAAAGGCCCATTATCATCTTCTTTGGGCCTATACTAGTATTGTTATTATCATGATTCTTCTTCTTACTATTACTATTATTAGTATTACCATTCATGCACTCCATCTATAATCACAGGCGCGGCTCTAAACCCTAAACCCTAGACCCTCAAGCCCCAGAACCCCCAATTCCGACAGGCCGAGCACGTCCCGGCCAGACTCGAGGAGGAAGGCAGAATTTTTTTTTGTTGATGTCTGGTTAGAGTTTAGGGTTTAGGGAATAGGGTTGGGAGTCCCCCACGCCCCCGAAGATTGGGTGGAGGGTTTAGGGTTCAAAGGTCTCTATCTGGATCATTTTTTTTTTTGGGGGGGGGGAGGGGGAGGGGGTCTACGGGTTTAGGTTTAGGACTCCCTAAGTTTTAGGGTTCAGGGCTTCTGGAATATTGGTCATTTGGCGGGCCGCGGGTTATTAAGAGGAGGCTCCAGGGGCTTTTGTTGCAGGGGGGTTCGGGTGTTGTTAAGGAACCCGATTTTCAGCCTGAGTTTGGGGATTTGCCGAATCCTAAATGGGTTTCAAGTTCGCGGAAGAGCGGAGCACATCCTAGATCCTAAGCCCGCGGCCCTGAATCCTCAACCCGTTGCTTGTGGCTAGGCGCTGGCCCCTACATGATCAGCCTAGGCTTTAGGGTCCAGGCTGCCAACCCAGAGCTGTCTTCGCTGACCCTGCCTCGCCATGCACCGTGCTGGTGTCTTCCTGCCTCTGGCCTTGTCCTGGCCCTGCTCCTTGTGGAGGTCCCCAAAAGGGCGTGAGTGCTGACTCATGTGATGCTTTGTAAAAAAATGAAAGGTCTTAACTCCTTGAGAGTTGTAAGTGGGCGGTCTTGGGGTGGGTAGGTCTGCAGACGACCGCGTGCTCCCAAAGCAAGCTTCCGTAAACCCTAAACCCTAAACCCTAAACCCTAAACCCTAAACCCTAAACCCTAAACCCTAAACCCTAAACCCTAAACCCTAAACCCTAAACCCTAAACCTGAAGCCTAAATCCTAAACCCTAAACCCCAAACCCTAAACCCTTCTCCAAGCCAGGCGGCGCGGCCGCGCGCCTGGCGCAGATCTTCGAGTTCCTAGACCGGATCGAGGCTGGGGCGACGTGAGGGTTTAGGGTTTAGGGTTTAGGGTTTAGGGTTTAGGGTTTAGGGTTTAGGGTTAGGTCCAGACTTAAACCCTGAGCCCCTAACCCTCTAAACCCTCTAGCCCCTACACCCTGAAGCCAAAAATCTTACACCCCTAACGCCCCTAAACCTGAAACCTTCAAGCCCGAAACCCTAAACCCCCTAAACATAGCACCCTTACAGCGAGGTTCAGGGTACTTATAACCCCACTTGTAACTCTACTTATAAGCTCCCGAAGTCCTCGCAGTAGGTTCCAAGTAGACTTCTGGTTTGGGGTTATAGCCCTAAACCCTAAGCCCTAAACCCTAAACCCTAAACCCTAAACCCTAAACCCTAAACCCTAAACCCCAAGCCCGCAAGCAAGGACTATCACCCCAGCCACCTGGTGGCCTGGCTCCAGCCGGGATCCCGGTCTGCCTGGGGTTTGGGCCTTGGGGCTTAGGGGTTGGGGTTTAGGGTTTAGGGTTTAGGGTTTAGGTTTAGGGTTTAGGGTTTAAGGGTTAAGGGTTAAGGGTTAAGGGTTTAGGGTTTAGGGTTTAGGGTTTAGGGTTTGGGGTGTAGGGTTTAGGGTTTAGGGTGTTGGGATTTGGGGTTTTGAGTTTAGAGGGTTTTGGGGTTTGGGGCTTTCAGAAGTTCAGCCGTTCTTTTCTGGAATTCAACTTCTTTATGCTGTTTGCAATGATTTGAAGTTTCTTCATGTTTTGCATAAACTTTGCATCTTTGCAAATCCTCACGATACGCATGGTAGCTTCTCAAATTGACCGTCCCTCTTGGGGTTCTTATTATGAGGCGATCCCTATGATTCAGGGTACCCCACAAGGGACCATCATTCAGAGAGCACCCTTGGACCTCAACCCTAAACCCTAAACCCTAAACCCTAAACCCTAAACCCTAAACCCTAAACCCTAAACCCTAAACCCTCAACATCCTCTAAGCCATCCGGGCGAAGGTCGCGCCTTGTCACCATCGAAGAGGTGCCCATGGCATCCGCAGCTCCCTTCCAGGACATTTTTGGGGTGCTTAGGGTTTAGGGTTTAGATTTAGGGTTTAGGGTTCAGGGTTTAGATTTAGGGTTTAGGGTTTAGGGTTTAGGGCTCTGGGGTGCTTAGGGTTCTTTTTGTTGATATCAGGGTTCCGTGCTTCAAGGCCCATTCAGGGTTTAGGGTTTTGGGGGTTTTGTGCTCTGGGGTGAAAGGACATGTGGGATGTTTAGGGTTCAGGGTTTAGGTCTTTGGGGTTTAAGGACGTTTGGGGTGTTGGCTTTTGGTAGTGTTTAGGGTGTAGGGTTTAGGGTTTTAGGGTTGTAGGGTGTTGAGCTTCTAGGGCTTTAGGCTTTTTGGTTTTTTAGCCGTTTTTTGGGTTTTGGGTTGTTATGGGGTGTTCGGGTTGTGGGGTTTTGTGTTTTTTTGTGACGTGTTAGGCTTTTTGAGTACACCTTATCTTGAGATTCCTATCTTGGGACCCCTAGTTTTGGAGGCACCCCACGCTTCATAGGGTTGAGTGGCATAGGGGTTTAGGCTTCAGGGCTTGGGATTAGGGCTTTTGGGCATTAGGGTTTAGGGCGGGGCTCACAGGTGATCTGTCAGAAGGCTTGAGGGGTTTTAGTGCGGTGTTTTGTAGCTTCCTTGGTGGTTCATCGTCGCTTAGAATATGACCCGGGAACTCTTTCCATTAGTTGACATCTTCGGTTACGCACCCCCCCCCCCCCCCCCCCGTAGCGCCTTAAGGGGGACAGTCCTACGATTCGCGTCAAAGTTGGGATGAATGGAGCAAAAGTGCACCCCACGTCGGAGGACCACTACGACAAGCTCGACCTGCCATGCGATGCAGATCCTGTGCCTCAGATGGACTTTCTCAAGCCCTCAATTAAACCCGAAACCCTGAACCCTGAACCCTGAACCATGAACCCTGAACCCTGAACCCTGAACCCTGAACCCTGAACCCTACGCCCTAAACCAATTGCTAATAGCCTTTCCTTATGGTCCCTATACGAACATACTTAATAACCCCCCCCCAAAAAAAAACCATATTCTAATTATTCAGGCCCTAACCCTAAAGCCTATACAAACATACTTAATAACCCCCCCCCCCCCCCCCCCTTTTCCCAGAACCCTATTCTAATTATTCAGACCCTTACAATACCACAACTGCAGGCCAGCATCCGACGCGCCTACCGAAAGCTGGCCCTGGCCACACATCCGGACAGGGCTTGCAACTGATTTTGAAGGGTTTAGGGTTTAGGGTTTGGGGTTTTAGGGTTTAGGGTTTGGGGTTTAGGGTTTGGGGTTTGGGGAGGATCTTTGAACCCCCGAAACCCCTAAACTGTGTGGGCTTGTGGAGTTGGGTGTTTCAGGGTTTAACAGCTGCGGGCTCTAGGGTTTTGAGGATCTCAAGCGTCGCTTGGGCCCGAAGCCCTAAACCCTAAACCCGCGTTGTTGTGCATTTCGAGTGTGGGGCTCGTATCACGGAAAGTCTGTAGGGCAACCCCAAACCCAAAACCCGAAACCCTGAGCCCCAACTCCTAAACTCTTGACCCTTAAGCCTGCTTGGCTGTCATGCCGGTCCTCTTCCAAACCGACGGTCCCTTTTGGGCCCTGGGTGTCTCGTCGTGAAGCATCGAATGCTGGAGGAGACAAGCCACAGCGTGAACCAGCGTCGTCCGAATCGACTTCGCGCTGAGCAGGGTGAAGTCTCCGTACCGGAGGATGCCATGGAAGGCCTCACAGAGGCGCACACATCAGCTGCTTGAAGCCCGCAGGGGAGGGAAGGTGGATTGGAAGCAGCAGGTTAGCAAGATCTCGGTCTTTGGCACTTCGCAGCTTGGGGTGTTCCCTAAACCCTAAACCCTGAACCCCAGACCCGTATTTGTGCCAGAGGTTCTGTTGTATCCCAACGTTCAGTGACTGCGGCCCTTTTGAGTGCTTTGTTTTTGGCAGGTTTATAGAGAACACTACCGCTCACATTGAACCCATAAACCCCAAACCCCACACCCCCTAAACCCCAAACCCCAACCCTAAACCCTAAACCCTAGTTATAACGCCTGCCCCCCCCCCCCCCCCCCCCCTCCCCCCTTGCAGGACAAACCCAGCGGCGACCGAGTGCTCTTCGAGGCGGGAGTTAGTTCCTGCACTCCCCAAAACCTTCTGAGCGCTTAGGGTGTAGGCGGTTTAGGGTTTAGGGTTTAGGGTCTAGGGCTTAGGGCTCAGGGTTTAGGGTTTAGAGTTTCGGGTTCAGGGTTTAGGGTTCAGGTTTTAGGGATTGGGTCTCTCGAGCTCAAGCCTCAGTCCTCTAGGTTTCGAATTCTTCAACCCGAAGCCCCTAAAGCCCCTAAAAACTTCTTAGGGTTTGGGGCTCAGGGCTGAGGGTTTAAGGGTGCAGCACCGGACCATGACTTTCCTGCACTTCGCAGCCGCTGCCGCCGGATCCCTTCGACCAGAGGAGACGCGGCGCCGCGCCATGCGCTTCTTGGACCGGATGCCTGTCCATCCAGAATCCAGACTCCTCCCAGCGCGCTCGCGGAGGGTGACAGCAGCCACCTTTCGTCCCAGGGGGCACAGCACGTGTGCCCGGGCAATGTACGCGGCTGTTGCGGAGGCCAATGGCCCGGATGAGGCATCGCAGTCTGTTTCGATTGCCAAGAGTCTCCGGAGGAGGGAGTTCGAGGAAGTGCAGAGTGGCTCGGAACCCTAAAACCCCAAACCCCAAACCCTAAACCCTAAACCCACAACCCTACAGGTCAGCAGATCGCACATCCCAAAGGGCCGACTTAGGGCCGAAGCCAGCCACACGCTCTGAGCCCAGGCAGGCCCTAAACCCTAAACCCCGAACACTCAGCCTCCAACCCCATGAACTAAGCTCGTAAAACCGCTAAGACATCCGTAAGTGCCAGGACTCCCTAAACGCCACATACCCTCAACCCTAAACCCTAAACCCTAAACCTCAAACCCTAAACTCAAACCCTGCATACCCTAAGCCCTAAGAAGATCTCAAGCAGTCCTTAACTCCAAGGGCGAAACCCTAAAGTCTAAACCCTTAACTCTAAACCCAACAATCGTAGCAGGAAGTCGCCCGCGCCTATGCAGTGCTGAGCGACCCGCAGCAGAGAGAGGCGGATTCAGCAATCAGGATATTTTCGGGTTTAGGGTTTAGTGTTTGGGTTTCGGGTTTAGGGTTTGGGACTTGGGTTTTGGGGTTTAGGATTTCGGTTTCAGGACGTAGGGGTTTACGTCAATACTTTGTGATCTTGGCGGGGGGTGTTGGGGTCTCACCATCGACCCTGAACTCGGATTCGGCCCCGAACCCCCCAAACCCAAACCCTCAAACCAAGGGTTCCCCTACTACCCCTCTACTATACTACCCCCCCAGGTTGCCCCCTTAGATAGCCTTAATTAGGCTAAGTTATCCCTATTATGGCGGGAACCTAGGGGGGTAGTATAGAGGGGGGGGGATAGTAGGGGAACCGCAAACACCGACGAATGCTTAAACCCTAAACCAACCAGACCGAGACGAAGCCTTACACCCGAAGCCCTAAACCCTAAACCCTAAGCAAGGTTTGAAACCCTCAACCCCAGAGCCTGAACCCTTTTAAACACCTAAACGCAGGTCTACGACGTTGAGCGGATGCGTGTCATCTCGGGCACCGCTGAGGCAAGCGTTCTTTAAGGGTGCCTGGGGTGCAGGAAGTGTGTGGAGCTGCCCACAGAATGCGGTTTAGAGCTTATGGCTTAGGCTAGGGTTTAGGGTTTGGGATTCAGGGTTTCGGCTGCGTCCATGAGGCGTCGTTGCCTCAAGCCTGCAGCAGTTTATGGATGTTGGGATGAGCTAGGGGCAGCATGGTTGAAAGGCAGACCTAAACCCTGAAGCCTAAACCCTAAAGCCCTAAAACCCTACAACCCCAAGACCCAAAAGCCCCAAAAAACGCCCTCAAGCCCCAAACGCCGAAGCGAATAAACCTTGAGACCCTAAACCCCAAACCACAATCAGCTTCTGGCCGGCTGCTCCCTCACTGTCGGGGGAAAAGGGTACCTCATGCCCTCCTTCCCTACTAGCCAGCAGTAAGCTTTCTGGTGTCTTCGGACACCCCTCCAGGCGACGTCCCTACGTGCGCTGAAGCTGCGGCTGAGGCTCTTCTTGGAAGGTTTGGGGGTTAGAAACCAAACGCCCTAAAACACCCTAAACCCTAAACCCTAAACCCTAAACCCTAAACCCTAAACCCTAAACCCTAAACCCGAAACCCTAAACCCTAAACCCTAAACCCTAAACCCTAAACCCTAACCTTAAACCCTCGACCCCTACACTTCTCTAAGCCCTCAAGCCCCAGCCCTGCTGATCTAGAAGGCACAGAGCCACACCCCCAGGCCATGCCTCTTGAAGTCCTCGTGCGGTTCAAGGTTTCGGGTTTAGGGTTCAGGGTTTAGGGCTTAGGCTATCGGGTAAAAGAATCACCAATATGGTCCACCCCTTGCAATCCCCGTATGCTTGTCACCCAATTTTTTTCCAAAAAACACCCACTGAAAGTTACATAGTTTCCTATATCAAGCTATATAGTAAGTAAGGGGTTTGTTCTGCCAGTTTCAGGTGCTTGCCGACTTGCCGATACATGAGGAGCTAGATCTTTAAACCTCCACTTGCAGGTTCTCTGCTATCAGCTAGAAGCAGCCACAGCATCATCGCAATTCTGCAGGGAGATGTATTTGCGCAACTTGAAGCCACGACTCAGAGCCTTGATGGGCCAGCAAGACGCCCAAAGATGTCATGATTGTGGACCTCAACCAAGGCACCCAGCTTTTCAGCCCTCATCACGAAATCAGAAAGGGACAGGCAACATCCCTCGACTGGCACTCGCCTTGAAGACTTGAAGATCAGGAGGTGGAATGAGACATGTTTCTTTGCTTGGCATTTCTGACTCAAGGGTGGAGCAGGATTACAAACATAGGTATACTCTATCCCATGGCCGAATCAGACATTGCAAAGGCTTTTCGGCGTTACTGCCACCCAGATGTGGTTGCTGAGTTCGATGCCGTGCCAAGCGAAGTTCAGAAGTCTTGGCTTGATGCATTCGAGTCCATTTGCTTCGACCTTTGCACGGCAGCCTTTGCACATGACTTTGCCCTGCAGGCAATGCAGCCCCAGTTCGAGAGGGACGTCAGCCCGGCTGATCCAGCATGTCCGCTGCACAGGGCTATGAATCGGAAGGTGCGGACTGGGGTGGCGTTGTCCGAGCGTCACATTGTGGATCTGCGGAGCAACCGGCTGCCTAGCTGGGGAAAGGTCTGCACTCGTGCTGCTTTGGAAGCAAACCATGCAGATGCATTGCGAAGTGAAGCGAGAAACAAGGACATGGTAGCCAGGATGCCAGGCCTTAGCACCTTCCGTTCATCACTCGCAACAACGCAGAAGCCAGTCTTGTCACAAGCGCGATGGGGAGATCTTCAGCCAGTGGCTTTCCGGGACCTCCGGCCCTTTGAGGTAGCCCAGGGGAGAGTTCTGCAATGCACCATAATCGCAGAGCCGGCGCCGATGGTAGGAATTCTCTTGTTGGCAGAAGACGCGCGCGGCGAGGTGCTGCCGCTCCAGCTCTACAACCAGTTTCCCAACAGCGCATGCGCCTCGGACATGTCGGACCAGGCCAAGCGGAAGTTCGCTGTCGGAACAACGCTGAGCATTGCGGAGCCGTTTTTGAAGATCATGAAGGATGGCAAGAGAGGAATCCGGGTTGATGCTGCCAGTGACCTGCGGATTCGGACCCCTGGACCCGCCAGCATGTCATCTCTCAAGGAGGAGGGTAATGCATTCATTGCCCAAAAGCAATGTGATGCTGCGCAGCAGTCGTATCTGGCCGCGCTGGAGCTTCCGGAAGTGGATGAAGTTGCTTGCTTTGCCAGAAGTAAACTTTTCAACAGGGTTCCCTGCTCTTGCCCTTTGAAACAGAACTTCGTGCTTCTTCCTTATCTGGCTTTCGAAGAAAGGTTGCCACCCTGCTGGCGAACCGTGCGCAAGCCTTGCTGGCGACAGGCTCTTCGACCGAAGCAGCACCGAAAATTGCAACAGCGACAGTAATTAGCCAGTAGTTAGTAGGTGATGAGGTGATGACACCCTTGCAATGCTTCTGCCGTTGGTTACGCAAGCGTGCCACAAAGTGAGCCCCTATTTCATTGGTGTGTAGGGCTGCATGAAGGAGACGATAGGTTCTGGATGGGGAACTGGACACACTTAACATTCGAAATCTACTCCAGGGTTCAGGGTTCAGGGTTTAGGGTTTAGGGTTTAGGGTTTAGGGTGCTTGAGTTACGGTTTCCTTCCGCTTGGGAGGCTGTCATATCCAGGCTTGCCTCGATGCAGCAGCGGCCCTCATGCTCAGGCAAACGGTTTAGGGTTTAGGGTTTCGGGTTCACGGTTTAGGGTGTAGGGTTTAGGGTTTAGGGTGTAGGGTTCACGGTTTAGCGGTTTAGGGTGTAGGGTTTAGGGGGAACCCGTGTTTTTTTTTGTTGTGGGTGCTTTTTTGCTGTGGGTGCTTTTTTCGGGGGCCGCCCCGGTGAGTGAGTGACCTGGTGCGTGTCGCCCCCGCACCCGCAGCAAAAAAAAAAACGCGCCCCCGCACCCGCAGCAAAAAAAAAAAACGCGCCCCCCCCCACCCGCAGCAAAAAAAAAACGCGCCCCCGCACCCGCCAAAAAAAAAAAACCGCCCCCCCCCCCCCCCCCCCTCCCCTCCCCGCCCCCCCCCCCTTCCTCCCCACCCCCCAGGTGAGTGAGTGACCTGGCGCGTGTCGCCCCCGCATCCGCAAAAAAAAAAACGCGCCCCCGCACCCGCAGCAAAAAAAAAAAACCGCCCCCCCACCGCAAAAAAAAACACACCCCCCCCCCCCCCCTCCCCCCCCCTTCCTCCCCACCCCCCAGTGAGTGAGTGACCTGGCGCGTTTCGCCCCCGCACCCGCAGCAAAAAAAAAAAAACGCCCCCCCCCCCCCTTTCCTCCCCACCCCCCAGGTCATTTGTTTTGCAATTTCCTCCCCAACCCCGTCCCCAACGCCCCCCCTCCTTTAAACTGTGCAAGCGTTTTCAAAGCACTGAATCCTTCCCAAGGCCATCATGCGAGCATTGTGTTTGCAAACGGTGGAGGGAGGGCTGCACCCCGCCCGACCCCCCCCCCTCTTTAAAACCGTGCCAGGTCGCTTCTCAGCATATGAATCCTGTCCAAGCCTATCATGCCAGCATTGGGTTTGCAAATAGGGGGGGGCTGCGCCCCCCCAACCCCCCCGCTTCTTAAAGCCATGCCGCTTGCTTCAAAGCAAATGAATCCTTTCCGAACCCATCATGAGAGCATTCCCCCCCGCTTGAAAGGGGGGTGGGTGGGGCTGCGCTTTTTAGCCGGGCAAACTTGCTTCAATCATACGAATCCCTTCCAAACCCATGATGATGCGAGCATTGTGTTTGCAAATGGGGGGGGGCTGCGCCCCCCCCAACCCCCCCGCTTTTTTTAGCCGGCAAGCCTGCTTCAAAGCTTACGAATCCCTTCCAAACCCATGATGCGAGCATTGCGTTCTCAAATGCGGCGGTCTGCGCAGCCCCCAACCCCCTGAAGAAAGAGGGAATATATGCTTGCTTTCCTACGAAAATTCAGACCTTATGGTGGAAGTTGAATTTTCCGTTTAAAAATAGAGATATAAACGTCTTCTTAGTAAAGAATCGAGAAAATAGAGCTTGTGTTATGAGACATGAACAAAATTAAAAACACTTGTTGTCTACGAGTCACAAATAGAGATAATGCATGTACTCTTATGACAATATCGAGAATTAGCTTTTCATGTATTCCTCTCTCATGTCTTCCTCGTGAAAAAAAGAGAAGAAGTCTGAAAATACTGACAAAATAAGAAACTATAGAACAATAGAGGTTTTCGCTATACAATATAGAGAAATTAGATGCTTCCTATGACAACATAGAGGAAACAGAGGCTTTCATACGAAAATATAGCGAAATACAAAGTGTTTTCATATTAAAATGTAGAGGTCTTGATATTCAAATATAGAGAATAGAGGTTTTCATGTTCAAATGTTAAGACAATGGAGGTTTGCCTATTCAGAGACAGAGAAAATAATGGGCTTCCTATTAAAATTAGGACAAGAGGAACAGAAACACTTTTAATTGCAAGTCACATATTGAGATAACACAGAGAATAAGTTTCTCATGCATTCCTCTCTCATGTCTTCCTCATTAAATATAGAGGAAATCTATGACGATATAGACAAAAATAGAGAGAAATAGAGGTTTTAGTTATAAAATAGAGAGAAATAGAGGTTTTCAAATTGAAGTATGGAGAAATTAGAAAAAAAACTAGAGGTTTTCATGCTAAATGTAGAGAAAATAGAGGTTTGTCATATTCAGATATAGAGAAGAAAGAGGTTTTCCTATTCAAATATAGAGGAGAAAGAGGTTTTCCTATTGAAAATTTGAGAAAACAAAGGTTTTCATAGTAAAATATAGAGAAAACAGCAAAACGCTCCGCACCCGCAGCAAAAAAAAAAAGGCGCCCCCACGGCACCCGCAACAAAAAAAAAACGCGCCCCCGCACCCGCAGCAAAAAAAAAAACGCGCCCCCCGCACCCGCAGCAAAAAAAAAACGCGCCCCCGCACCCGCAGCAAAAAAAAAACGCGCCCCCGCACCCACAGCAAAAAAGCACCCGCAAAAAAAAAAAAACACTCTTACCGGGTTTAGGGATGAGGGTTTTCCAAACCCGAAGCCCCTTTTGTGCCCCTGCAGGCCCGCACATAGCAAGGCCTGGATGCGATACAGGGCAGCTCTTGGCAGTTACTTTGTCGTAGTTGGGTAACATTTTACATTTTTAAGGGTACTTAAACCCAATAAGGAATATAATTTTAAAATTTTAATACTATCCCAACCATGAACTAGGTTATGCTGAAGAGCTCCCAGCATCGCAGCGAACTGGACTCCCGGCTGCCTTTTTTCAAGTGCGTGACCCTAAACCCTAAAACCCTAAAACCCTAAAACCCTAACACCCTAACACCCTAAAACCCTAAGACCCTAAAACCCTAAAACCCTCAGACCCTAAGACCCTAAAACCCTAAAACCCTAAAGCCCTACACCCAACAGTTCCTTCCAACCTGACCCCGCAAGCGGTTGTGATGTGTTGTGGTTGCGGGCACAAAGACCGCCAAATCCCAGCAGGGGCTCTACGCAGAAGGGTTCTTAGGGGCTTCGGGTTTGGAAACCCTCAACCCTAAACCCTACACCCTAAACCGTGAACCCTAAACCCTAAACCATAAACCCTAAACCCTAAACCCTAAGCAAGTTGCTCTTCGAGAAAGCACCAAGATGCGGCGTTTCCGAAATTAGGGGTGCCTTATTGGGGTCTTTAATCTAAGGGGATCCTACTATTTGGGGGATCTATATTGGGGGCCCCCTATGTATGTGTTGAAGCGCTGTAGTGTTCCTTATCCCTTCATACTGTGCCAACCAGGAGTCTTGGCCGTCTCGCAAAAGTCGGCCATGACAGGGTGTGCTTCAGGCTCTGGCAAAGTGGTTGCTAGGGACGATGTGCGGACGGCCTTGAATGCTCTGCTTTGGGGGTTCCTGGAAAGCGAGGAGCTCTTCTTGTCCCTGGAAAGGTTTTTGCCGGAGTTCTCCGGCGACACTGCTGGGGACATCAGGGAGCAGGCGAATGGCTTCTACAAGCAGGGAGGAAACATGCAAGCATGTGAGGGCTACACAATCGCCTTGAGCAAGGTTGCTTGCTCACAGACGGTTGCGGCTGTGCTCTCGAACCTTAGCCACGCTTGTCTGCACATGCGTGAGTCCCACAGTGCCCTAGCCTTTGCGTCGGCGGCTAGGCGCATCAACCCCGCAAGCCAGCCGCTGGCCGCGAAATGTTTCTTCCGCCTTGGGCGCGGTTTGCATCAACTCGGTGAGAACAGCCTTCTCAGGTGAAGCCCTGACGCAATTGTTCTGCTGACGGGTGGCAGTATTCAATAGGGTTCCCAACAAAGCTCTTTGAAAGGGTGTCTGATTGTAGGTGACTCGGAAATTGCTGAGGTGGTTCTTGCAAGAGGCCAGCCCCGTCTACGTGGAAGAGGCGCGGAAGCTCACACAGATGCTGCAGGAGGATGTGGGGTACAGGGTGCGCTGGTACGCCGGGGACGATGGGAAGGGTGCCGGGCAAGTCATCCTTTGCGGCACGCACCCTTATGAGGATGCCTTGCCCGAGGTCGTGGTTGAAGGGCTGGAGGTTGTCCAAATCGAAGGCAAGGGCAGAGGCATCAAAGCAACCAGGTCATTCAAGCATTGTGAGTTGGTTCTTGTGGGATACGCTCTCGCCGCGGCAGTGGTCGAACATGACAAGACCTTTGTGATCACAAGTGGCAATTCAGTGTCACATGGATCTCACGCGCAAGTCAGAAGCATGCTTGCATACGCAGCTTCGCAAAACAACGAGGCGGCGTGGATTTTGTCTCAGCTGTGCGATGGTTCGGGAACCATCCAGCAGCTACTTCAACTTCGAGACCTTCATGGTTTGAGCTGCCGGTGGCTACCCATGCTTGGCCAAAAGCAGTGCTACTACGCACACAGTGACCGCGTGCACTTACCAGCGCTGGCCGTTGATGGCATCGTGAAGGTAAATGCCCACGGCACTCGTACCAAGAATGAGACGGGCATCTTCCCCCTGGCGTGCTTCTTCAATCATGCTCGTGATTCCAACTGCGCCTACGTCTCGGTGAAGTTGGAAAACGGACATGACGTGCCTGGCATGCTGGCAGTGATGACTTCTCGGCCTGTCCAGGAGGGCGAAGAGCTTACCGTGACATACGCGGACCCCATGCCGTTGAACAACGCTTGGGGGATTCGTCCATGAACTCAGATGCAGAGCTCCAACAGCTTGTTTCTCTTAGACACGCATAGTTAACCATCAGCCCCTCCATGTCAGATATGAACAGCGCCGACCTGGTAAGAGACGGAGGACAAAATCAAGGCGATGCGTGCAGTTGCCGTTCCGAGCTAAGAGCCTTCTCCCCCTTCCTTCCGTCTAGACCCATGTTAGCCCCGAGCCTAAAACCCGAATTCCAATTGCTTCGCCTTTCCTGGGCTGAGACTATGTGAAGCAGGGTATATGTTACTGTGATTGGTGAGTGTATATGAGGTTCCTTTTTAATATTGGTGAGTGTATATACTTGGTGGCCTTTTGGGGGTACAAGAAATATAAACCCTACTTCATGTCATAGGTACTCATAACCACAGCTATCAATCTACTTATAACCTACTTGGGGACTTAGGAGACTTTGGGGGCTTAAAAGCACAGTTATGATTGGGGCTATAAGTACCCTGAACCCTAAACCCTAAAACCTTAAACCCTAAACCCTAAACCCTAAACCCTAAACCCTAAACCCTACACCCCCGTCGCAGACCCGCGAAGGCCAGGACGGGAGGTGGCCAACGAGCTGGGGGCTGATGCCGCTGCCTTGGCTGCGCGGCTGCGGGAGGCGGGCTTTTTGGGTTTAGGGTTTAGGGTTTAGGGCTTGTTTATTTCGGGTTTAGGGTTTTGGGTTTAGGTTTTGGGAAGGGGGGTTTTGGGCTCAGGGAAGTTTAAGGTTTTTGGGTTTTTCGGGGCGTTCGATGTTTGGGTTTTTTCCGGGGATTTTGGGGCCTGAGGGGTTTCAGGCAGCTAAATCGGGGGCTTTCTGTAGGATTGAAAACCTCAACAGCCTTGCCACCCTAAACCCTAGACCCTAAACCCTAAACCCAAAACCCTAAACCCCAAAACCCTAAACCCTAAACCCGAAAGTCCCCAAAAACGCTGGGAGGTGCTCGCCACGCACCTCACCTCGCTGCAACGCTACGCCGCCGTGAGCTCAGTGGGCCTTAGCCCCGGAGAAATTTAGGGTTTTAGGATTTAGGGTAAGTACCCTGATAGCCCCAAGTCTCCGAAGTGCCCAAAGTGCCCCAGGTACCCCCAAGTGCCAGAATTGCCCTCAGTACCCGAGTTCCCCTAGGTTCCCTAGTTCCCCTAGTTCCCTAGTTCCCCTAGTTCCCCTAGTTCCCTAGTTCCCCTAGTTCCCCTACTTCCCCTAGTTGCCCTAAGTACGCTACTAACCCTGGTTGCCCCCAGTACCCTAGGTACCCTAAGTCCTTTAAATACCCAAGCTGCCCTGGGTACTCTAATTGCCCTCAGAAATTGCCCCAGATACCTTACGCACCCTAAGCACCCTAAGCACCCTAAGCACCCTAAGACCCCCGACGACACGGAACCGGTCGGTGGCCCTGTCGCGCGCTTTCTTGCCTGCTCGGACAAGTGCTAGCTTAGCAACATGAGGTCGGGTTGAGGTACTGGGGGTTCAGAGGATTCCGAGATGCGAGAAAGGAGGTTCTGGGACGCAACTTGCTTGACCGGAAGGTTCCCTGATGGCACCGCGCCGCAAAGGAAGCAGAAAACGGGAGATGAAAAACCGGCAGTGAAGGCAATGCCAAGGTAACAGGAGATGCCAAAAGCGAAAGGAGGAGAAAGATGATGAAAAGGAAGGAAAAAGGCCAAAACCCGAGCCGAAGGCAGCACCGAATTTCTGAGTCGTGGTGTGGCTTGGGCTTGTCGCCATGGGCCGCCTAAACCCTAAACCCTAAATCCTAAACCCTGAACCCTAAACCCTAAACCCTAGACCCTAGACCCTAAACCCCAAACCCTAAACCCTAAACCCTAAACCCCAAACCCTAAATCCCAAACCCCAAACCTTCAACTTTGGCATGCCAGTCCTTGTCCCTCTGTGGCGCAGACTTGAAGGTCGATGGCTCTGTTTGCAACCTTTTCATTCTGTCTTGGCCTTCATCATCCCTTTGTGAAAAACCTGTTTAGGGTTTAGGGTTTAGGGTTTAGGGTTTAGGGCCAGTTTAGGGTTTAGGGTTTAGGGTTTAGGGTGCGTACCTCATAAACCCAAATAAGTAAATGTAAAATTTCCCAAAAGCCAGCTAGGTCGGCTTTTTAATCTTGTCTCTTTTTCCTTATTTGGGCTTACCAGGGGCACACTTTTCAAAGGGTTTAGGGTTTAGGGTTTAGGGTTTAGGGGTTAGGGTGTGGCCGTAGTTTCCCTACTTATAACCCTACCTGCCCTCCATGACAGCCCTGGTTTGACGGGCCTGGAGACTTCGATCATTGCAGGGACTTGGGTGGGTGGTTTAGGGTTCGGGCTCAGGGATTAGGATGTAAGGGTTTAGGAGAAACCCTAAGCCCTAATCCCTAAACGGCTAAACCCTAAACCCTAATTTAACCTTCCCGAAAGTCCCTACAATGCCCACATGAAAGTGCCTAAAACCTTGAACCCTAAAGGCCCTAAAGTTCTGAACCCCTACAGCCTGAACTTCTGGAAGATCGCGAGAAAACAAAACATTCGCAACTTGAGTTTAGGGTTTAGGGCTTAGGGTTTAGGATTTCCTTGCTAGTGATTGTGACTGTGGCCACGGTTGCTGCAACCAGAACGGACTCAACTCACAACTCGCAACTCACAAAGCCCTAAACCCTTTCAGGGTAATTCGTAACCCATTAAGGTTTAGGTTTTAGGGTTTAGGGTTTAGGGTTTCGGGATGTTAAGGGTACTTAGCAGCTCATTATAAGTGTAGTTATAACCCACATATAAGCCCCTTAAGTACCCTAGTCGGATTATAGTTTGGTTATCAGTGCAGTTACCTAACCCCTAAACCCTAAACCCTAAACCCTAACCCTAAACCCTAAACCCTGAACCCTGAACCCTGAACCCTGAACCCTAAACCCTGAACCCTAAACCCTAAACCCTGAACCCTGAACCCTGAACCCTGAACCCTAAACCCTAAACCCTGAACCCTGAACCCTGAACCCTAAACCCTAAACCCTAAACCCTAATCCCTTATTGTGGGCTACTACGTACCATGAACCTCCAAGTAAGCTCTAAACCCGATAAGTGCCGACCCAGGCCGAGTGCGCGTCTGCCGGCCCCGTGGCTGTCGCTTAAGGGTTTAGGGTTTAGGGTTTAGGGTTTAGGGTTTAGGGTTTAGGGTTTAGGGTTTAGGGTTTAGGGTTTAGGGTTCAGGGTTTGCGGTTTAGGGTTTAGGGTTTTGAGGTTAGGGATTTGGCGGCTTGAAGTCGCTCATTGGTCAACTTCTGTGTGTGTTGGCTGAGAGGATTTGGGGCAAACGCTGTACCCTGAACCCTAAAGTCTGCACCCTACAACCTGAACCCTAAACACTGAACCCTAAACCCTAAACCCTAAACCCTAAACCCTAAACCCTAAACCCTAAACCCTAAACCCTAAACCCTAAACCCTAAACCCTAAACCCTAAACCCTGAACCCTGAACCCTTAAACCCTAAACCCTAAACCTTAAACCCTAAACCCTAAACCTTGAACCCTAAATCCCAAGCCCTTGAAAGTCGTCTACATCTGAAGGCTTGCAGACTCAGGGTTCGGATCCCTTCAGCCCTGACTCAATAACTAACCGGAACGCTAAACCCTAAACGCTGAACCTTATGTCGTACACCCTACACCCTGAACTCTAAACCCTAAACCCTAAACCCTAAACCCTAAAGCCTAAACCCTAAACCCTAAGCCCGCCCAGGCCCATATTCGCCTTCCTTCTTTTTTGGGACTAGAGTTTTTTGAGGGGTTTGCGCGGAAAGGGCATAGGGTGAGCTTGCAAGGTCCATAGCTTGGGCTCAGCTTAGGGCGCAGGGGTTTAAGGCTTCGTGGGGAACCCTATGTTAAAACCCTAAACCCCAAACCCGGAACTAAACCTCAACCCTAAAGCTCTCAAACCCTAAACCCCCAAAAGCCTAAAGCCCCCCACCACTACACCCTGAAACCCTAAACCCTTATCCCTTAAGTCCAAACACTCAACCCTAAACCCCCAACCCCGAAACTAAGCCCTCAACCCTGAAGCCCGAATACCCTAGATCCCTGAAACCCTGCACCCTAAACCCTAAACCCTCAACCCTAAATCCTAAGCCCTAAGCCCTAAGCCCTAAACCCTAAACCCTAAACCCTAAACCCTAAACCCTAAACCAGCAACCCCTAAGCCCCAAATCAACCCAGGAGGAACCCCGGAGCCAGAGTCAAGGCCTCCAGCCGGGCGCCCAGCGGTTGGGGGGCTAAATCCTAAACCCTAAACCCTAAACCCTAAACCCTAAACCCTAAACCCTAAACCCTAAACCCTAAACCCTAAACCCTAAACCCTAAACCCTAAACCCTAAACCTTGAACCCCAAATGTGGGATTTTGGGATTTGCCCAGAATTGTGGGGTCTGGGGCTTGGGATTCCTTGTCTTGATGCCTAGATTGAGGATTCCAGTACATTGGGGGTGTATTAGGGCTAGATCGCACGGTCAGGGTTAGGGTTCCAG